TTTGGAGGTCACAAAACTTATTTACAGGCTTCACTTGAGAAATCATTGTTTCAAACAGCGAAAGGAAAATCTGCTCGTCATCACTAAGAAAAACAACGAGCCTAACCATAAATTGACCGAAATAGTGGTCGGTGAGTGAGTTCCATAAAAACTGGTGCGAAAATGGTTTTAAAATCCTTTCACAAGGTAATATCCTGAAGCCATTTTAATATTATTTTCCAGTAATGGTTAAAACTTCTTTAAACCATACCTTCCACTGGAGTGTACGTACTTGTTGAAAGCCTACAAGTTTTTACTGAAACCTTCAATTTAGTTTACATTTTTTCTAAAGGAGCGTATGCAAAATCTTGTGTATTTGAAATAAAGAATATACCGACTGGACAGACCTTTTGCATAAATTCCTTGCACTGTAAGAAAGTTAAATCGGTTTAAACGATGATTACTAAACTAGTATAAGTTTATTTATACATAAGCTCACATTTAGCGTACATTATTTATCAAATTATTCAGTCACATAAAGAAAAACGTACGCACATTTCACCCGACAAGAACTCGAACTCAGAATTTTATACAGACGATATACTGAGCAGTTTAAACTGCATTTTACAGATATACACAAGAGTATAATAGAATACTAAGAAGAAAGATAATTAAAAGGAATAAAATTGTCATTTTTAACAAACTTTACCCTTTTTAAAGCTTACAAAGTTTACTTATTATTTCGGCTTCGTCACTTTCTTCCTGTCTTCTGTTAAGTACGATCAGCTTTTCCCACAATTTTGTTGTTTGCCCAGACATCCCTTTGGCTTAAAGTTTAAGCTTTGAAATCTTACTATTTTTAAGATTTCTATCGTTTTCCAGCGACTCAGGGGAAAATTATCTATGTTTTTGTTTCTGCACAGTTGACCCGCATTAGCCTCGCAATCGTGCCTGTCCCAGGGCCGTCGGGGAATACGATAGAGGCATCCCGCGCGAATGTAAAAGTTGAGCGAGGTTAAACTTCTGCGTTTACACGCCACCTTCCATACATTGCCTCTTAGCTTTTTAATTTAAGCACGTAAAAATTAAATTACGCGAAAGTGAAAATCCACCTTATTCCTCGCAAAGTGCCGAGCCGCGAGGTTTATAATCTCGTCGCGCGCGAAGCGCGCGTGTATCAACATTCGTGCGCGACTAACAGTGTATCTCCCCACCCCCAAAACAGTCTTGAAACCGTCAAGGCACAATTTCTTTTATCTTTCAACATTGTATTAGGTGGGGAAGAGGGAGGGGTCAAAAGGTTTTTCAAAGGACATCACTGCTTTTCCCAACATTACTTGTGATACAGATAGAAGTGCTGTTATGCTCTGCTGTCCCAAGAACTTTTGTCCAGGATTGTAGGTATGTGACGGGGGTTAGGGTACCATTTGTCAATAGAGGGTATACGAAAGAGGCCCCTTTTCTGCCCAGATGTATATAAAAGCGTAAGGGGCTGGACCTCAAGACGGAGCCTTCTTAAATAAAACTTTACTGAGTTTTCCCTGGGAAGAAAGGGAAAGGGAGGATTGCCTTTACTTCTCTACCAATCAACAACAACATAAACCTTATTATATTGAACAAATATGTAATTACATCAATATGCATGGAAACTAGAGAACTTCTACGGGTTTTTATTACCATGTTCTCCTATTATCTATTATGTTTTCTTATCAGGTCTGGACGCCACATGTAGCGTAATCTAACGTAACCATAAATTGATTTCAAGAATTTAACTTCCACAACATTAACCATTGTCTAAACACTGATGTGACAAAATATTTATTTCCTTTTTATATTATATTGTGATTTTGTGTTCTTTAAATCTTCTGGAATAGAGTTGAACTTCGTCCTTTACACCGTATTGAATCATAGCCATAGTTTGTTCTGTAATACTGCTTATGCATATCATTGCTTCGCCGTGTAGAATAAGAATGAAGTTGACTATTCAAAATATAAATATCTCTAAGATTATACGGCAACACGAGCCTGATGGCAACTTATTCTTAAATAGGTCACGCCCAGGCTCACTTGTGCAAATTCGGGGAAATCGCCATCCAGCGAGGAATCCGGTTTCTGTCACCACATGACATAGCGCGAATGTGTTCCGCGTGGATGACCCACGCTCAGAGCCACGCATCCTTCACGAATTGACGCAGAACAAAATGGCGGATGACGCGGAGAGCGTTATTACTATTTGTTTTGTCGACGAAAACGACTACAGAGAGATTTCTGCTAAAGCTGTGTCAGCGAAACGGAAATTAAAAAAGAATCGCCCTTCTTCTCTTGTATAGAGCTAACAGTACAGCAGGGAAAATCCTTAACACACTGAATATTCTCTCAGGATCATTTATAATTTACAGGTTGAAGAGAGCAATTTCTGGTTTGATATTTATTCTTTTATTAGTCTTTTATTATTCAACAAACATTTCACTTGGCATCCTATTTGCTTTATTGTACAAACGACCGGTTTCAATAGACCGGTGAAATTTCTCATTTTGTTAACTAAAAGCACTGAGGTTACGACAACTTCGAGTTAAACTGATTTTACGGGTTGTCAAAGAGTCTAGCGATTCCCTTTTCCCAGGTGAGCGCCGACTCATTTCGCTTCAATATTCTGGAATGCTCCCCATCTCTGTACGCTTTCATTGCCTTTCGCCCGACATGTCGCACGGCGTTTAGTCATGCGAAACTTCCACGAAACATCCACGCAGCGCGCGAGGAAACTTAAATAACTCAGACGAATTACCCGTGGAATAGGGTGTGTATGGGGGATGCCTTCTCTGTCCCCTTTATCCTCTCTTGGTCTCACATACTCATTATCTGGGAAAAAATACTTCCCATTAGTGGGCACCGTCCTTAAAATATACCGGTAGACTTGCAAGTTCATTATCAGCTTTCATTTCTACGCTAGTTAATCCAGGATTGGCCATAGGCACCCTTTGATTCTTTTACTAAACGCTAATAAATGTTCTTGTTATTGAGAGCTGTGCGTTGATTCAGTGGTTGTTATGTCACCATGTTACTTCAAATATGGAATAATGGTTCTAGTCTTAATAGTTTGGTTGAGACCAAGGAGTCGTAACACACAAACTGTCACACAGTAAATGCTAATTATAACGTTGGCGCAAGCCGGACAAATGTGAAGCCCTTGGATGTACGGCAGAAATTGTAGCAGGCGCAGATGGCAGAGTGAATAACTGTGCGGTTTTAGCAAAAGAAAAAAAAGTGAGGTTAATATAAGCGGTTATTAACATTTTCGGATATATCCAGTTTAGTACCCAGGCGTTCAATTCCTTACCGGTCACTGGATTTAACGCGAACTCAGTATTTACCATTCCCTCACCGCGAGAGAAGAATGCTGAGCGTCTTACGCCTTACGGCCAACTAGAGAAGGCGTCTGTTTTTGAATTTATATTGCTAGTCGGACCAAGTACGTGATCGTTCGACAGCGCTTTATGTCCCCAGTCACAAGATGTACCTTTTATGAATCAACTACTTGACCCTTTAAATTGACTGAAAAGACATGCTGCAGCTCGTCAACTTTACATTACTCGCAACAAGTAACTGGCAAATAGCAACTAGCAACTCGCAACTAGCAATTCACAACTCGCAACTTCACAACTTGCAAAATACCCCTGGTCAGTCTCTTCACTTTCCAGTCTGAAGGCTTCGATTGCATAACTTCCTTACACCTCTAACTAGAAATACGTGTATCGCAGAACCTCTCGAAGCTCGGGGGGAAGCCCATAAGAGGTGGGAGGACAGGAGAGAAATGAAGTAATTCATGTAACTGGGGAGGGCTGGTCTAATATTGGAAGCTGAGATGTACTTTAAATTTGAACCCAGTGCTCTGGTTTTAAAAAGGATCTTCTGAGATTTAAATGGGGTTCCTGTTGTTAGCCAATGTTGAATAGTTCCCATCCCGTGTTCACCCCATTTGACCCTCCTACGTGTGTAATTATGGTCAAAGGGAAATGGGGTTGATAGTGGATAACTGCTGACTAATATGCAGTTGCATTTGCTTAATAAAAGCTCACCCTTAAATGTAATAATTATTCGAAATGTGTCAGTAGTAATGAGTGGATGGCAATGCTGCAGTGAAAACAACAACTAAATGCTGGTAATTGGAGAAAAAAAATTATTGTTAGGTGAACTACATTTATAAAAGTGTCTGCACTTTTTTTGGTACATAATCACACTTGACAACTGTTGTTTGTAACAGTAAAGTGCAAACATAATCACTGAAATGGAAAATTACAAGTAGCAATGTCATTTTATAGGATGCAGTTCACGAGAATTATTAAAGTGATCATGACTTATGATCATTGAATATGTGGGCGTTAATTCATCGTAAAGCACTGAATCCATGTAAAAAGTACCAATTTTTTATCACCTAGGCAAGTGTTCAGAGTTATATTCGTGTACATGCATAAGAAACAAATACCTATGCAACAATGAGTTTGTATGAAATGTCCACAAACAAGTTATGTTGAGGGTGATCAGTTTCTCCTTCGATGTCCATTCTAAACATGCATGAGCTTGTTATTAAGACAGTGCCAGAGCCATAGATGTTTAATTTCCCAGACTGAGACGAGTCAAATGAACACTTTCCCTGTATTACATGCATTTCTCGTGAATATAAAGCTAAGTGCGGGATGGAGTGATCTTAAATGGGAAACCCTATATCTGCTTGCATGTCGTTTAATTTCTTAAAACAATCTCAATCTTCTTCTGCCAATGGAACAAATGTTCTATTTCTGTGAATATGTCACCTCTCTCTGACTTCTTTGAAAGAGTGACATTTTATGACTGACGTCATAAATTTTCCCTAACAGCGAAAGGAATTAACGTTCCTGGCATGGCAGCCATGTCACACACTAATATTCTGAGGATACCCGAAATACAGATTGTCTTTTGGAATAATAGGAACGAAAATATAGGAGCCCAGCAATAATAAATTTTTGTTGTATTTGACTTAGAAGACACAGCTGTGTTTATGTATAATTGAATGAAAATTGTAAGCTTAAACGAAAAATCTTGTTCAGTAGGGAGTTTGTTTACAAATGTAACGCTTCCCTACATGTCACACATTATCGGTGTTCTAAACTGTTCATTGTAAAAAAGCGCTGAAAAGGCTGATTGGCTGTCCTCAGTCCGTTGGAAAGATACTCGTCATGTCGATCTTACAAGATGGTGTAATTCTTGCTGCCTATCGTTGCATCGAAGAAGATAATTTTGACTGTAAACTTCAGGGGCACCCAACGAGGATATAGTTAAAAACAAGTTAACATAGCATTGTTGAACGTATTGTAGTCTTTAAACGGTAGATATAGGCATATTTTTATCCCCTAAAAACTTTTCATCTGTTCGGATTTCCTAGCTGAAAGTCTAGTGATCGGAAAATTATAGGGATCAAAACTTACCTTTTCGAAAATTTCAGCCAGAAAAAGGTTCCCGAAAATTCTAGGTGGCCTTTTTTAGGGTAAAAATCCGTTAAAAATGGGTAATTATACCATTTTGTAGATGTTCGAAAATCCTAGGAGAGGCAGGCAAGCAAGAAATTTTCCAACAAATGTTCCGAAAATTCTAGATCTCAAATCGTCTTCCGAACAGATATTTTCCGAAAATTGCCGTTGGGTGCCCCTGAACTTGCCTCTGGATGATTCCTCGTCGGTTTCGGTTTCGTTGCGATGCGAATTCTATTGACCGCATTTTGCTCAAACGTCGGCAGTCGGTGTTCCCTCTCTTCGTCGGCTTTGTTTGCAGTGTAATTGTAGTATTTTGTTCCTGCCTCTTTACATCCTCTGTGTTTAGTTGACAGGGTTTGCCTTCGCTGTGCCGTTGCTCGCTCTGAATTTAAAGTCGACGTTCTCGGTCTTGCGGAGTTTTGTTTGTAATTCTTTCCCAGCGAGGATTTCCAGCCACTTGTTGAATCCACTGTTGTTGCGTTTGCTGTTCTCTTTTATTTGCCTGAGATATTGGGTGGTGATACAGCGACCGTCAACATTGTCATAATGGCAACCGGTTACCTGGAAACCCATAATGCACTTTGACGTCACTACCTGGATTACGTAAAGGCGGACACCAACCAATAGCCAAGAGCAAATCACGCTGGCCCTGCCATGCTCGTGTGATACACGCGCGCTTCGCGCGCGACGAGATTATAAACCTCGCGGCTCGGGGCTTCGCGAGGAATAAATCCAGGGGATAAATCACAAAACCAGTTCTCTCGAATAGCAGATGTCCCCACCCTTTCACATACCTGAAGCATGAAAAAGGCGGAGCCTTCCTGTAAAGGCCATTACAGAGAGTACCCCTCGGGCACACAGACTTCAGCACAAACCCATTTAGGCAAATAAGGGAGTGCCGCTCTGGGAACTTTTCAGCTGACTCTTTCGTCTAATGAGAAAGAAATTGCCTAAATCACAGCCTGCTAGTGACCTGCTAGTCTTTTTCAGGTTATAAGTTCATTCCGCTTTGGGACAATCTACCCACAATCCTTTGATTATCATTTCTCTAAGGCGGCCAATAACAAACAACTTAATAAAAGCAAATTTTTGTGTTTCACCCAAGCCCCAAACAAAGCAGCACCACAGTTTCTTACGGCCTCTTACGTGCAATTACATCCGTGCATCCAGTTGAACGATATGGCTACTGAATCTTTATGTGGAAAATCATTAAAACTAGCCCATTATATACCAAAGCAAGTTAAAGTGTAGCCTACTAAAGGCTAATTTTATTGGCTGAACATTAAATCTCAGTTTTACATATTTTGCATATGCACAACCTTTCCCCAAGGTCCTTACTGATTTCTTGGCAAAAGCCCTGGGGAAGAACTGGGAGAGGGGTTCTTGAACTGAAATCCGTTAACACATTGCATTCAGCACATTTGGGTTTGAAACACCAGTTTTACTTTAATAAATTCAATATCATTGTAAATTCAGATATTATCTTATCTCTCCTGTAATAAGATTAAATTTATAACCCTAACATGTTCAGTCTAAGTTCTCTGTTAGCTAACAGGACTACAATGCATGGAATAATTTCACCAACAAAAAAGTTCCTACTAATGTCTGGCTTTAATCTCGAATCTAATACAAAACTTCACTATAGATTATATTGAACCACAAGTGATAGAGACTAAATTTTCCTATGTAACAGCATTATCAATAAAGTGGCATGCATGCATTTAAAGTTAATGGCATGCATGCATTCACAGTTAATGGAAGTAAAACAAACTTTCATCAACAAACTTTGGTCCTCATTGGCAATTTGGCAGAAAGTTTTGAAGGTTTGGATCTGGCCAATCAATAGGAAAAACAAGCGTTGAGAACTCATGATCAGTATTCTAATGTTCCAAGAAAAGTAAAACAAGGTAAAAATAATCCTTAGGTAATAAATATAATTTTAGTTTTTGAACTAATATGAATTCTACATGTACATGTCTAGAAAACTAATAAAATAATATACATCATTATTATGGGACAGTGTTTTACACAACTTTATACATGCAAAGAAATCTATTATTGTCCCTCAAAGTTATTTTAATTTTAAAAAACTAGGCTATAATATTAATTTTATGAACTACATAGTATACTATAGTACTATAAAACCTCTAAACTCTTTTTTTCTAAACACACCACCAAATTTGATTGTAGTACCGATTTTACTTTAGATACTTCTGTATCATGTCAATTTGATCAACATTTCAAATTACATTATGAAAGTTAGCTAAATTTCAGCCAATATTTTGCACTATTGCAACATACATGTATAATGAAACCCCGTTAATACAAATACTGGGGGGGCCCATAGAAAGTGTCCGTATTAATAGGGTGTCCATGTTAAGCGGGTTGAATTTTAGAGAAAATGTAAGGGATTTCTAACCCAGAGACAAAGCAAACTGTCCGTAATTAATAATAAGGTGTCCGTATAATGCGGGTGTCTGTAAAGCGGGATTTGGCTATATAATATGATGGAGTTCCAAGATAATGAAAATTTGAAAAATAAAATTTTGCTGCCTGCATGTAGTGAATAATTTTCCTGCATTCACTATTGGGCAGCAAACAAAATAATGTCACTGTATTCTGTCAACCCGGGCTTCGACTTCTTGTCTTTGCTACACTGGAAGGCAGGAAAGGTCTATTATGACCTCACTAGATCGCATGACCAACAACCTTGTACACTGCAAGTTAATTGTCACAAGAAGATGCCCACCTGGGAAGCTCCTCTAAATAGAAAACACTTTACAATTTGCAAGGTATTCCTGGGTTATTTCCTTCAAACTCATCACATGATCTTTACTGTTTTAATTGACTGTGTAAACATTTTGCTGTTCTACCCTCCATGTATGACAATACTTAAGATATACAATTCAACGTGGAGAACAGTTAATAACTATTATTAGATCATTATGAAGAGGTGACTGAAAATGAAACTCCAAGTCACTCCTTCTAATTAGTCTGACATATAAATCAAAAGGAGAATATGGCATTAGATAAGATTCGAATTAGAGGCCACACAACTTACATGTATTTTAGAGGCTAGACATTTCAAATACCCCTTCACAGTCATTATTAGTGCTTTTAAATTTATACAAGCTGACGTGACATACATGTACATGTACAATAAACAGGACCATTATTATTACACCAGTTATATATCCTTACTGGCCATGGACCATATGAAAAAATCTGTCCACCAGCTTTTCACATTGTTCCTTCCACTTGTATTTCATCATGTATTCCTTTTTCAGTTTTCCAACTTTTGAGCGAAGTGCCTTTGGTTCCATGTCCCTGAACTCCCTTATCTTGTCAGCCCAAGCTTGGGGGTCTTCAGAATCCACGACAAAATCTGGTCCATATTTTACTGTCTTGAGGGTCATACCTAGCCCAGTATTTCCACTGATCAGAACAGGAACATTGGCTGAAATGGCACGGAGACCACTCATTCCAAAGCCTTCTGTTCTTGATGGCTTGATGAGAACATCTACTTCATGAAGATATTTAAACCATGTTTCTGTGTCCCCAGCCGAGCAATGACGAATGGTCAGCTGATTTAAACTTATTTCCTCCTTTCCCATGGCTTCATTAAGTTCATTATCATCATCTTTAGGCTGTGCAACAAGTATCAGACGATATGAAGCATCTTGCAGTAGGCTGATAGCACGGGCTGCAATGTCACACCCTTTGACCTGGAAATACTTGGTGGAACCACTGACTAGTACACGGAATTTTTCATTTGCAGCATTCTTATACTGCGCATTGATACTTAGGTATTTTTCTGAAATTCCAGGTGTTAGGGTAAAAACATTTCCCTCTTTTCCACAGTAGCTCAATGCAGCCTTGTAGGCTTCTGCAACTTTAGGGCCCACAGCAATGACAAGATCAACTTTTTCACACAATGTCACCTGTAGCTCATGCTCTGCAGATGGTTGTTGTTCAGATTGTTCACTTGACTGTGTTTTCTTTAAGTATTTCTCCAGTTCCTCACAGATTGTATGCACAACAATAGCCCATATACAGTTTTTTGTATCTTTAATAACCTGTGCCTGTCGTCCTACATTAAATCCATAACAATGCATCATCAAAACATCAATTTTCAAATCATCAGCTGGATGGGCTAGCAGCTCTGGTTCTGAATAACCAGAAACGGATTTTGCATCAAAAAGTTTAATGTTTAACTCAGTGGCTAGTGCTTTGTGTTTCTCAGTGTGTTTTGGCACAAATCCACTTAGTTTGATTCTCTCATTATGAGCCAGTTCTTTTTCTAATTCTCCATTTGTCATCTTGTCCCAGCCATCAGCATTAGAAGCAAGTACTACATTCAGTTTCTGTGCATCCCCTAAAATATTATAAGAGCCATTAACATGACGTGGAACAAAATTTTTATCAGTATTACCAGTAATAATAGTAGCAATGATAATAATTATTAACAATTAATGATAACAATAAAAAGAGGCTCCAAATAGTCTATACTACTGATACAAAGGAGGTTACAGCATGTACGTGACAAAATACATGTAGGTACACAACGTTGCATAGTCGGACATAGAAACTTTGCCATCCTACAACTTGGAATAATACAGGAGAAAAACTAATCTGGAAAAGGGCATCATAGATCTAAGATAAAGATAATTAAGATCTAGGAGAGAAGATAAGTGCTAAATCATAAAATGTCATCTTCACCTCAAGAATACCATTGCAGGTGAATCACAAAGTGAGCAGAGGCGAAAAATTTTACAGAGAGAATTAACCACAGATCAGAATAGTTGCAAGTCTCTAGATTCTTTCAAGGCAATGTCTCTGACGATATAATGATATTGGTAGTGTGAAATACTGGGGTCGCCATGTAGCATGCTTCCCTCCGACACTTTCCTAAGTTGTTATGATTGAATCTTTAAAATAGGATACAAATCCCTCAACAAAATTGACGATTCAGTTGTGTCCAAGATGTGTTTGCTCAGTGTGACAACTGTGACAAAAACTCGATACAAATAAATCTGTGTAAGCCACAGGCAATTCATTTCAGTGCGACAATTCATATTATACTGTGGACCAAACTTTTCAATATAAGCTTAACTATTGATCAAGTTTGTGGGATACTAAATAAACAGACTGCATGCTAATGACTTGCCCGTAGTTTTACTGTAAACTATTCCCCATTTACTTCGTTGCACGCGTAGGTGACATTAACAGTAGTTGTAAGAGAAGTTTTTTTTTTATTTTGCATCTGTAGTGTAATCGGTAAGGTGCGATGTTTACGGTAAAAAAAGGGCAAAACAGTGACGCCCTCAAGAAGGTTACAAGCAAAAGGCGAGATGTCTACCCTTCAGACATGATACCATCCCAATATTTTCGCTTCTGCATTCTCAGTTACTCCTTTTTTAAACCAATACACTATTTTCTTTGTTCGTACCTTTTGCTAGAGTATGCATGGCTGACAGCGCACATTCGCCCGTGCGTACAGCAAAAATCTTAAAAACATATGTATTTCTTATTTCCTTTTATCGTTAACTCTGGATATTAATGATAGCGGAGCTCCACGCGCGCGCGAGAGCCCCATTGCTAAGTAAATCTACCATCCCAGAAAATTTGGTAATCACGTGACCGTACACCGACCGCCCGTCCGTCCGAACCACAGGAAAACCAATGTTTACTCTCACACTTTTAGTTTATAGTTTGGGAGCCCAAGAGAAAACTAATTGCACAGGCTGCACATCAATGTTGTGATCAGTTGACAGCTATCAAAACAGGGCATCCGCTGACCAGTATCACCTGACCGTACCGCGGGCTCAAGTGTCGACCCATCGAGGTCGAGTATTTTTTAAAGTTATCCGCTGACAAATTACCAGTTTCAAATGATCGCAGGCTCACGTTTATTTTTTCCAAGGATTCATATCAAATATGTTGTGTTTATGTCACTATGGCCCCGAACTATTAGGATTTTGATTTCAAACTGACCTCGGAAGCGAAAATTAATCCAGTTTTTTTAAAAGTACAGGCGGGGAAGACCTTATCTTACCATGGTCACGCGTTGGTCACGCTCTACGTCCAATTTTTATACTCTGATTGGTCAAAATTTGACAGGTGAGTTCATGCGGAAAAATTATGCAGCATCTTGAAAGTAGTTTACTTTGACAGCTGAAGCTGACGGAGTTTTCTGTCAACTTGTGACGTTTTTAACTGTCTTTTTCCTCTGGATGTACAAAATGAAATACAGCTGCTATCAAGAGTCTTCTGTTATTCATGGATGGTTTGTTTACTGGGTTTTGGTTGAGAAATGCGTCGCTTGTCAAAATTCGGTCGGATGGCATCGTTTTCGTTTTTCACCTTGTTTAATGCGTAAGAGGGTTTAAAAGTCTCAAGCAACTGTGGCCTCCCTTGATAGCTTTCAGGAACTGAATCTCGAATGGTAAGCCTAAGGAATTATTGTATTTGATGTTTGTATTTCATGAAGTCTTGCACAGTTCACGCTGACAGTTTATGCGGCAAGTTTATGCACGTTTGTAAGATTTGAGTCAATGATCTGACCTAGTATCAGGTTTGATGTAAGCTTACAGAACTTTAAAAAGCCTTCAGATATATTTGCTCACCACAAATAGAAAGAAAACGTTCCGAAGAATATTTAGTTTAGAAAGAAAACTTTGAGCGATTTTCTTGCTTCGAGGAGTTCACCTTCGAAAACAGTAAACACCGCGCCGGGAAACCGGCTAAAACATAAACTTAAGCTTTACGCTTAAAGACTCAGGATTTTTAGAGACAATTTAATACTTGTCTTCGTGAATAAAAATTGTTGTCTATGTAAATGTTTCACGGAATTATACCTCTTTTTTTATTGTTAGTAGTCTCTCTTGCAATTTTAATCGCTTGTCCGTGCCGTTTGTTTTCATCGTTCATGACCATCGCTTGCAGGAGTACTCAAAAATGTCGCGCGTATCAAACGCTTTATAAGATTACACATCGTTATAACTGAAACCATTAAATAACAAAACAAATAATAATAAATTCGCTATTGTGTTGAAGCGTAACTCTGTTAAAGTTCATTCAAACACTCGACCACACTGACAGCTCGCACTATAGAAACGAGAACCAGCTGGCCGTATGGGTGATTTTGGAAATTTTCTGAAATTTTTGAACGGTTTGGCTCGTCCTGAATATTGACTGAGTGCAATTTGTCTTGAAAAATTGTGAAATACCGCATTCTGTCCGAGCTCTGTATGATAAATAGTACTGTTTCACCTCAAATGTGGTGTATAAAAATTATAAAAGGTTGGTTTAAACACCCCCAGATTTGTTGGCAAGAATTTGTAAAGTAAACCTGTCGAACGCAAAAAACTTGGCGTGATTTGTTTTCCAAGAATTTGTTTTCGAGGCCTAATCTACTGTGATCTTGAATGTGATCGAAGATGTTTGCTATTTCATGGGTGTACATATAAGGTTATCAATTCGATGTAAGATGTTTCACTCTAAAATAACTTAGCCTTTCCCTCAAAAGTCACATGAATGTGCCCTTAAGTTAAATGATTTGTGGATTAAAAGTTTATTGCTTGATTTAAATTATAAATTTATTAAAATTGGACCTTCGCTTTTAGCCCTGGCTAAATCTACATATTAAATCTTTCGCATTATTTTGGTGTATTTGCCCGTCTGAAGAGCAGACGTCTCGCCTTTTGATTGTAATTAATGTACCAGTCAATTCCAGCTGCGCCCAGCCCCGGGCATTAATTTTTTCCCATCCATGGATGGGTGGCTAGCAAAAAGCGATTCAGCCGCTACTGTTTTGGTTTTCAAAGCCGGAGCCTTTCGCTACTAGTAGACTATAATAGATAGCCTAGTAGTGGCTCAACCAATCAGACTGCAGCATTGATAACAGACCACTAGTTGGATTTTACTAATATCAAAGATTTGGTGAAAGATGAAAATTATTGTCAGAAATGAGGCGGTAGAAGTACAAGAAGTACACTTTACGTGCTATTTGTTCAGCTCTTTTTGTACTGTAAACTGTCGGCGATTTCTTTGAGATGAGGCGATTAAAGTTTTCATTATTGTCATGAATGTCTTGTTTCGATATTTTTGACCAACTAGTTGGATTTTACTAAAACAATTATTCCTCTCACCCTCATGGCCTTCGGCCTCATGGGCTACTGACTCCGAGCCCATTCGGGCTCAAAGAATAATTGTTAATTAGCTCGACTCTATTGTTACGTATTGCCGCATCAAAAAACCTATTCAGTGAAGAACATATTAACGATTTTTTTTATTTATTTCGCCCAAAAATGGGGGGGGCATGACCCCCCTGGCCCCACCCCCTCCACGGGCCCTGTTTTTTGACGGTCTGTCGTGGGCCTGGGAAGCCTTAGACGACCTTAGCCCCCATTTTTCCTCAGGGATACACGTCGCCTTTCCTCTAAAAAAATAACAGCCAGAGCTTTTCTTCTTAAGTACCACAAAAATATGTCAAATGGTGCTATATTGTATTAATTTTTACTAATGCTTGTGCGCTCTCTGTAAACAAGTTTTCAAGTTCCTCACCCATAATAGCCCTTGTCACCGTAGAAATTTTCTCGAAATAGCTCAACTAAAGTCTCTGTCGGAAAGAATTCAGTTTTTCTCCTTTTTAGTGCACCGTCATCCTTACCGCGGTGGCGGTGACCTTTTGCGTCTTGATTATCCATAGATCTAAGCCGACCGGAGTCACTGTGGAGTATAACACTCCTGGTAGAGTTACTCATGCCTAAAGGCTCGAAGGGTGAGAGACTAAACCAAGTGTGGTCCTCTGGTCCTCCAGGTTGGAGGTTGGGTTGAGAGTTGATAATTTTCTTCCATAAAACCCTATTGTTACAGAAACAGAAGCCGATCGGCTCCAGTTCAGAAACCAGAATCAGAGGAAATTCACTATATCAAGGGAACATTGTGGCAGGTCCTCACAGTAGAAGTTACCCCATGACGCGCTGGGGCCGAAGCCATCAGGATACCATCGAGTTGAGTATGCCTATTTCGCTTCTTAAAAACATCATGAAGATTGGAAAATGGAAAAGGAAACAGGATGGAAATCATGGGACGAAGTGACGAAGTGAGGACCATTAGCAAAAATGTGGAAACTCTCTGTGGGGGCCTTATGTGCCACGAGGTGTGAAAAAGATCACATAAAATGCCCGATAATGTGCACTTTATTTTTGACTGGAAACTTGTCGATCTTAGTGTTGCCAAAAAGTATTTGTGAGTTTTTAAAATACTACAATTAGGAAAATTTGGTATTGGCTTAATTCCCTGCAAGTACGTTTCGCTCGCTCTACTATCCCTGAGGAAAAATGGGGGACTACTCGTAGTCAACACCGCGGCAAAACGCACTGCGCATGAGCACAGAATTTAACTTCCGGTCAGCTTTTTATTTCCGGTCAAGTATATAAACCAATTGCGTAAGCATAACATTGCCGTCGCGCCAAGTTTAAAAGCAAAAAGGGAGAAACACAAAAAAGGGGGCGAAAAAAATCACTTCACGACTGAGCGGATAATATGAGACATGTCCACAACAGCCTAAACATGGTTATCTTAACTTACAAAGCTGACATCACGGTTCATGTGACCAAACAGAACTAGAAAAAAAGGAACGAGAAAAAATACCATAGAACCTAGCAATGGCTCGCAGTTAAAGTTTTGACAAATTTGTGCTATGAAACGTGCTTTAAAAAAATTCATCGCTCCAGAGCAAATAAGTATGCAGAAAATAATATTTACTTAAACTCTTGGACCAAATTTCCAGTTACATGGTCAACCGTCAAAGCTACCGCCCCATTGACACCCTCTCGTCAGGAGCCCTCAACCTGTGTTTTGGAGTTTGTCTTGGCTTTACACTTATGGTTTCTTATAGAATTTCGAAATATTTTCAGATGTAAGCCTGTTGTAAGGTCTTGTAACGTCTGGTTTTTCACTTTGAGATTCCTCAGGAGCCAGAAGTCTGTGAAGATTAGCCAAACTGTAGAGAGATTTCAAATACCTTGAACCTTTTTGACGGTTGACATTGGTCTGCATTTATGATAGATAACAGTAAAAAATCACCTTTCAGCAGTTTTTCAAGGGGGTGGCGGGGAGGGCAGCTGGATTTAAGTGGGTAGGGAAGTGATGGTGGGAAGTGGGATACTAAGGCTTCTCTAAGCCCGTTCAGATGGAGCTAGTTATCATGAGAACAGATTTCGTCTAGCAAAAAAGACCAATTGGTACTATCGTCACAAAGCTGATTGCAGTGTGTTCTCCACTTTACGAGAAAGAGTCTAAAGATTGCTGTCGCTTATTTCCGGCTCAGTTCCAATACCGGCATGCCGATTCCTTGTTCATCACTTTTGATCAATTCAAGCGCCTGTACATGGTTACTGCTTGCAGGGCGGATTGCGTAGGTTGTTGGCTAGGATGTACAGTGTATAAAACCAAACCTTTTGTTTGAAAAATCATTATCATGAAAAACCATTTTTTCAAAAACCCGCTAAATAAAATTAAAGGTTGCATGATAGAGATAACTTGATCGTTATACATGCGTCCTTATTGAACGAAAACTAATTTGAGAAGAAGAAAAAAGAAAGCCGTTAATTGCTTTTGCTTTGGCTTGTACTTTCCGCAACTTAACTCAATAACTAATGGTAGGGAAGGTCGATAAATTCCACCGGTCCTGGGAACAGAACAGACCAATTAAATTCCACTTTTTTTCGCGAAGACTGTTATCCAAACACACCCTGTGGGCAGAGGCTTCTTATGTTTCGTACGCTACTTCATACCCAAAAAGCGTACCCTCCTTCTCGGCCAAATAAAAATGTTCTAGTTAACATGACAATGACGAAACTTGAGCGTCTTAAATGCGACGCGCCAGACATGAAGCAAACGCATTTGATCGTAGGATGATGTGTGTTTGCTTCTAAAACAAACTGATTTGTCGTCTCTCTTCCTTTTTCCCACAGGGAGAACATCGTCAATGCATCTTTTCCACTCGAGGGGTTTAGTCTTGCTTTTACTGATAATTTATGTTTCAATTCTGGACATAGTAATGTTCGCAAAGGTCACTGCCACGAAATAACCTGCCTTTTAGAGAACGTATAGCACTTAAAGAACTCAGATCTAACACAGAAATAATAATAAACAAGACGCTGTGGTAGCTTATATTTGGGCGTGGTTGTACTACGCATATGTGAAGTTTGTTATGTGCATGAGGGATATGTGGGTAGAGCAGTGGTATTGTATACTTGAGGGGTTAGTTGAGACGTGTGAAGTAGTAGGCGTGAGGTTATATTGGAAGTTGATTGCTAAGATGATGGGTGTAGTTTGTGAGGTAGTTGCTGGGTTTCTACATGGGGTTGTTTTTATTGGATGTTGGTAACAGAGTCAAACTCTGTTAATAGTGGCACTGAGGTGCTGATAGAAAATATCTGTATCAAGTGGCATGTTTTACAAACATACTGTTTTCCATCAAATGAAGACTGCACACTGAAAAGAATTTGACAGGAATATTTACTTTTGCCAAAAATGTGAACTGATCTCTCATAAAGTAATCGATTACAAACACGACGTGTATAACAGGGACCTTTTCTTATTTAATTTTTATACTGTTCAAAGTAAAAATCTATACCCTGATCTGCCTGTTTTCTTTTCTCCTTGTAACTAGATGTTTCTTTTTAAAAGGTTTCATCTCACAATACTCAAATGAACTATACCTGTGTTTCCTCACAATCTTTTCCCTTTCACTGCTTTCAATTTTGCATGAACATAATATAAAGTGTATTTCATATTGTAGTCTGACAATTTAACTTAAGTTGTGTAATTTTACAAATTTCCTCAACTAATGACTGTATGCCTTTGATACTTTTAACAAATGTTATTTCACATAACTAAATTTCATCATATCCCACAAGAAAACAAAGTCCTTTACTCTACTTCTTTGCTGAACTACACAGTTTATACAGTGTGTTCCAATCCACGACAAAAATCTAGACTGTTTACAGTCCCCTATTTTTTCGCGAGACCGTTGAGATATAGCGCGTCTTACCGTTAATGGCGGCCATCTTGATTTTCAAATTTACTGGGGGGTGTCGGAGATTATATCTGTTGGGGGGGGGGGGCGAGAAGCGTTTTCTCGCTTCCTCCCTAACCGCCCCCGCTGCCTCCTAGTAAGTAGTTTTGACACTCATGCAAGATGGCAGCCCGTAACGCAAAGCCCTTGATCTCGACCGTCTTACGGAAAAATAGAGGACTGTACTGTGTACTTCAACACAGATTTGCTCTCAGCTAAATTGCAACATAGGACACTATCGCCAACAGGGCAAACAGTAAGGTTTATCTCAGCTCCACCGATACTCTCACTTTCAGGAAGATCAACTGCAATAATATGTCTTTTCACACCCATCACATTGTACAGTGTATTCCCATTACTAGCACGGGCAGATAAAGTTCCTGAAGTCCAGTATCCACATAGATTAATAACAGAATAACACATTGCATAAACTGCTATAGCACAGCACTGTTTACAAGAACATTGTATAAACTATTAACATTCGATATACTACAGTATTCAACACTGCTTGAACAAAGATCAACTTCAAAGTTGGAAATATGTACGCCTTTAAGCTCATGTGTATCCTCATTCCTACATATATATAGACTCTGAAAATACTGCACTAATTTATGCATGGATGGTATTTCCAAGAATACACATGTACCTTGACTATGACTGTTACCATATATATCTCTAGCAAGAGAATCAACACCAATAATCCCCACAGTTAAAATGAATGAGTTGTAGTTCAGAACCAAGAGTGTTTTAAGTGGAATACGGTAGTGATACCCCTCAATTCTGGCATAATCATACATGTTACAAGTATAACTTTCACTGTATTCAAGCTGGAAAATTAGCTCAAACACTAGTCTGAAACCATTTCTGTTAACATTAACATAGATTGTCTTGCAAGCAATGACAGACTGGAATATACTAAAAGTATTTGGCTACCAACAGTCACTGTTTGAATCATATCATCGACTGAAGTAATTCTTCTTATCTTACTGTAAATTAAAGCGCACAAACTCATTGTAACACATTGTTGTCCCGCATCTTCCCCAAATATCAGTAGAAAGCTTAAATTGGCCAAAATTATTAAACCCGGTGAATCAAACCCTTTTAAGCACTATAAAATGGATAGTTACATGTACAGAGGCACAAATACTTACTTAAAACCCTATTTTGATACCTCACCCCACCTAAATAGCCTCTTCTTTTGTGCTTAGACGACAGATAAACCTTCCCTTGTTTTCGAACTAATTTTGGACTTGCCCAATTAAAAACACAAAAACATCAAAACACTCATCAAAACTTGCTGATAATGCAAAATCCCGACGCCGAGCTTCGTACATGTACCGCGTCACAATATACATGAAAAAAAAAAAAAAACAACGCGCAATACAAAAGCAAGTACATCAACAGTCACTTTGCTAAACAAAATTGAAGGAATAAGAAGAATTGTTACCGCTATCACAGTAGTTCCCAAAGAAGCCTGAGTCCCTTTTGGTTTCAATTGTTGACAATCGTCTCTTTCTTCACAGGAAGAGATTTTTATCCCAGGCAACATCTTTTGTTCCGCATTGCAAAAATCAAAATCACTATTGTCACACTCATTACCAGCTACACAAATCTTGCGACTCTCAAACTTGATACACATTCTTCTGTTCAAACTCTTATCGATTTTACATGTACACTCCTGACATTCCGATTTGTTATTCCGTCTATGAGGTCCATGGTCTTTGAATGTCTTGAATATTTCCTTTGTTTTTCTTTGAGATCGCGGACCAGCCCATTATGAAAACAGTCAGTGTTATTTTAGGGCTTTTAGTGTGGGCCTACCGCGAACAGTCTGTGCATTTGTAAGTTCAACCCTCGATAACATACTTCAACAATACGTTCCTCGCAACACCGTCGCCAAATTTTATCCAAACTACTTCTTACTGCTGCTTTGAAAAATTTCGGATCAAATGATATCATTGGATTACTACCATCCTTGAAGAGCGTAGTTTCACATTTCAACTTGTCAGTTTTGGCCAATGAAACGTTGTCGGTTAGTCTCTGTCGTGAAATTGGCAACGTTTTTGGCCCCATACGATCATGTTTTGATCACGTGCTGTCTAAGTTGTCAGGTTTTTCGTGGGAGCGTATTCTGTTTTTAAAGTCTGCATGTGTCAATATGGTGATGCAAATTCAAGTTCAAACTGAAGATACTAGAAGAGTTTTGTTTCGTGAATCCGCCTAGGAGTGTTGAGGATTTAAAAAATACTACATTTTTGCGTGAGATTCCGAAGACACGTTTTATGGATTTTGGAATACTTTACGAAAACGATAGAGGAGAATATGTAGTGTTGAATGACGTTCGCATGCCAGACATTCGCCTCGCTTCGCTTGTTTACTACTTGCCTTGTTTACGTTAGCACGTATAGCGTGCCTATTGCACATTTGCGTCAAAACAAGTCGTTTCCATTACTCTATTTGGGCCACGCCCAAATAATAAAAAGTCTCATATTAAGTTTACATAACAGGGCCATAAAGGACACTTCAGGAGGGACCTTAAAATCTAACCATGGCGAAAGTGGTGAAAACATAGCGCTTAAAAAGTGAATTCGCCTTCTTTCAGTTTTAATCGCGATTATTCCAATTCACCTACTTTTGAAAATGAAGAAATGATCGTCGCAGTGAACGCAATTTATGCAACTGCGTAAAGAAGCCTGAAAAAAATTCAGGACTTTAACGGGGTTTGAACCCGTGACCTGGCGATTACCGGTGCGATGCTCTACCAACTGAGCTATGAAGACAATGACGTTGGGAGCAGGTCAGTTCTGGGTTCATATGTTCCCGTGAAAGAAATGAGTGTTAATGATATATGAAATAAATCATATATGAACTGTGGAAATGAAATGAAAATGAAGAAATGATCGTCGCAGTGAACGAAATTTATGCAATTGCGTAAAGAAGCAGCGCCGTAGCTAGTATGAGGCCAACCGAGGCACTCGCCTCGGTAAGATTTTGACGAATTTCGCCGATCATTTTTATTTTACATAAGCGATCATCGGATATTTTTAACGCATCATGATATTACAAAGAATTCAGCAATTCAGTCAATATACTATGAAAAAATTACCATATCATCGATCTCAAGGGGCTACGTACGTTAACTCAAATTTTTTTTTTTCACAAATACTGATCAAAACCATTGGCGAGGTTAACGGTCACCCAGATTATGTAGCTTGTTTCTGATTATTGCTTTTTAAATTCCACTTAAATTAACTCGAAAAAAAGTTACCGAAAGGCCCAGAAAACGCTGCAAATCGCATTTCCGAGAGACTAAAGTTCAAAATTTCTCGGGGGGGGGCATGCCCCCGAACCCCCCTAGCAACTCCCGCCTCCCTCGGTTGGCCGTTTGGTCTGGCTACGGCACTGAGAAGCCTGAAAAAAATTCAGGACTTCAACGGGGTTTGAGCCCGTGACCTCGCGATTACAGGTGCGATGCTCTAACAACTGAGCTATGAAGACAATGACGTTGGGAGCAGGTCAATTGTGGGTTCATATGTTCCCGTGAAAGAAATGAGTGTTCATGATATATGAAATAAATCATATATGAACTGCGGAAATGAATTGGAAATGAAGAAATCATCGTCGCAGTGAACGCAATTTATGCAATTGTGTAAAGAAGCCTGAAAAAAATTCAGGACTTCAACGGGGTTTGAATCCGTGATCTCGCGATTACAAGTGCGATGCTCTAACAACTGAGCTATGAAGACACTGACGTTGGGAGCAGGTCAATTGTGGGTTCATATGTTCCCGTGAAAGAAATGAGTGTTCATGATATATGAAATAAATCATATATGAACTGCGGAAATGAATTGGAAATGAAGAAATCATCGTCGCAGTGAACGCAATTTATGCAATTGTGTAAAGAAGCCTGAAAAAAATTCAGGACGTGATTTAATATATCATTAACACTCATTTCTTTCCCGGGAACATATGAACCCACAATTGACCTGCTCCGAACGTCAGTAGCTTCGTAGCTCAGTCTAGAAACCTTCCAATCCCCTTTTTTATCAAATCAAAAACCTTACATTACAGCCAGTCTTTTTTCTTGCAACAGCTAAGCTATCTAAGCTATTTTTTGTATGAAGTCCACACTAAGAGAGCGCCTACAAATCTTCTTCATAAATTTATTAAAAGCTGACAAATTCTCCAGAATCAATAAAAAATGAAAAAGTCTCTCACTAGAATTAGTGTGTCTATTTTTGAATTCTATTTCACTCTCTGTTAATTTCTAAAAACTCTCCATAAATCTAATTTTCGTTAAAAAATTAAATCAATACACCTTCATGGTCAAGATCATGACGATAGCTATATGTATGTTACTGATTGGATAGGATGTTATTATTTTCAATGTATTATATATACCTCAGTCAGCTTGTAATTTTAAGTCCAGTTTTATATTACAAATTACTGTACTTTACTTGACATTTAGGTAAAACTATGGCAAAATAATGATGGGACTTCCAGTGTTTACTTCTGCTTGTAATTGTATTACTTTTCTTCTGGTATCAGTCTTATCACCTTTGATTCGCTTAGTAGCTACGTACAAGGCATTTAATTTTGTACAATTTTGGTTTTTCTTAAGAAATAAAATTGTTGTTGATGTTCTTATTATAATCATACATGTATACTAAAAGCATAAATTACTGTCAACAACAATGTCAGACTCAAAATGTTGGTTTGAAGAACTCTGGATATCGTATTCCACGATTTTAAAAGATTATTAATGATTTGTTGCATGTGTGTCACTGTGGTTCTTTATCAAATAAAAATGCAAATGTAATGTCAAGTTAAGTCACGACATTCCTTTTCTGCTGACTCACATAGAACTTTTCAAACTCATTAATAATTCATAAAGAAAATACAAGGGAAATTAATGTTTAACGTGTATTTGGAAAATACATGAAGAACTGCTCGTTTTTGCATCCTTAATTTCTCATTCTACAATTACTTTGTTCGAGAAGTAATATCAAGCATTTGACACAGTGTCTCATCACCAGATGAAACACCTCGAAGTTCATCAAAAATATAGCCTGTGTACAGACGTCCCTCCCTCCCTCAAAAAAAATCGGGAGAAGAGACGTCTGTGAATCGCTGTCGTTAATCGCGTTCCCGTTTCCCCGGAATGTTGGGGGAAAGCTACCGATTGGTTGCAATGTTAATGCTATGACTCAAATAATTTTTGGTGTTGTGATTGGTGAGTGAATCTCAGAATATATTCCCCCAGGCTGAAACCTAAGCCGCTGTGGACAGCTTATCGCATTTTTATTTGTTTACCTGTATTTCGGCTCTCTGGAATAGGCATGTCAAGTTAACGGACCACCGATGTTTGCTGGACCGGTTGCGGGTGCGTCTGTTCTCTGCCGGTGGATGTTGTGAATAAAAGAGGAGGACGCACAGAATTAATCGATCAGAGATCTTATCTAGATTTTAGCGTGAACATTGCGTGAAAATGTTCGGCTAGCCTATTACAGACGCCACCTAACGTCTTTACAAGGATCATTCGGCCTACATGTGCCGGTCATGACTAGTAGAGTTAGGCAAAAGTAGAGCTATCTCTATTATAATTCCTTGCTGAAGAAAAGTGAACGATCCTTTACGTGAAAAATCGTGAAACTTACTCGAAATCATTGAATGGATCAACTCCTGCATAAAACGCTTGACTGGAAATGTAAACAGTGCTTCCGAGAACAAAATTCTGTTAAACCAGAAACCACAGGAAATCGATGCACAGTAAACAGACCGATTCTATGAGCTAAAAGATGACCGACGAATGTGTTAGAATCTTCCAAAGCACTATACACTCGTTATAAATGACACTTTAGCTTGATATTCTAGTTAGACCTTACTAGCTTAGCTATAAAGAACATCCAAGAGAATAACTACGTATGTGCTCTAAAAGATTCCAGAGTCGTGTTGGTCTGTCAACACCTTTTCAACTGTCAGAGAAAAAAAAAATAATAATAATTTAAGCAAATGTACTCCGGAACACGATTAACGACGGCGATTCACAGACGTCTCTTCTACCGATTTTTTTCTGAGGGAGGGGGGACGTCTGTACACAGGCTATCAAAAATACTCCGCACATCATATTTTCAACTCCCTTTTCAGTTTTTCATCTGTTTATGAAACACTACGTCTCATGCTTGATATATTACTTGACAATCACCAAGACATTCACCATTTTCACATAGACCTTAATGCACCTTGTTAACCCCCCAAAATTTGGCATAACCATTGTCTAGGTTTTCTCTTGGGAAGACTGTTATACCCAGGGTAAATTGGAAACTTTGGGGGGTAAACAAGCTGCATAATGGTCTACATTGTATGTGAAAGTAGTGAATTAACAAAAAGCATGTGTAGGGTGAGCTAATCAGTGATGGGCCTGATAAACAATGTACTCACCTTTACTTTGACCTAGGCATGCCCTACGCAGCATTCTCCGCTTCCACTCAGTGAAATTAAGGGGGACAATCTCTTCCCCTCCATCAGATCCTGAAGGATTCAGCAGCTCAAAGCTTTTGGGGCATTTCTTGAAAATGCCACCCAAGTTCCTCATGCCAGCTATAAGAATCACTATAACAAAACTTGATTTGGTGCCATCAACAGGAAAGAACACTATATCCCAGTGTGCCCCCTGTATTGGGGTAAAGCTCCATGTTTCACTCATTTGGTTAATGATGGCTTGAAACCCACTCTCCCATTCTGCTTTGCCATCGGCTGTAATCTCTTGTCCAAGAATTTCCCCTGTTTTATCCTTAATACCAATAAGAATCATCCCTCCACTTCCATTTCCAAAGCAGGAGATGTATTCTGCGATTTCGTCTTGAGCCTTTTGGTTATTGTTGTGAAATAGTCCATGATCTGATGTGTAGCATTTCAGTTGCACTTTTTTTGATTCAGGGATATTCAGTACCTCCTTGTACGTGAGATTTTTGGGTAACAAATCCATCGGAAGTTCTGTTAAAGGAACCTCAGGAGTATGGTTTTCAAGGGAATCTCTCCTGGATAATAAATCAACAACTTTTTCGCGAGGCACACATTGCGTAGACGCTGCATCAAAGGGCAAATGAAAATTGTAATCCACTGTATAAAAATGCTCTGTTGCTTTGATGAAAAGAACAATTGTGTCTCCTTCAAGTTTTCTATCAAAGACATCATCATACGCTGATAGCTGGATCATTAGATTCAGTTTTTGCTCTAATGTTTGCCAAAATATATCAATTCTCTTATTAAGGTCTCCTGGTTCATACCTTGAGAAGTCATCAATTTTCATCCGCACAATGCCACCCCCTGAGTTGAGAACTGCATTAATTGGCCTCAAAACAGCTTCTGCATCTCCCTTTTCCAGCGTGATTGTGTAGTGTAGCACATTCTCAACATTTTTTCTGGGAAAAAAGAAGAATTAAGTAATTTAAGCATTTACACCAAGCTTTCTAAATCTCAAGACAATTAATCATTCCAGATAAGATATCCCAATATCTTTTGACTGTCCAAGATTTTCCTGGTGCTGTATGAAAATCATTTCTGACAACGAAATTCCCCGCTAAACCCAAGTCTCCTTAGTAGTCAGAATGTTGATTCCCTAGGTTTGTAGTTCCAGCCGCCGCGAAAAAGAGCTTCCACAGAAAATTATTAAGAGTGAGGATTGGTGATGTTTATGGTTGAAGTACGTTATAAATATATTAACGGGAACTTCACTTTTAGTCTTGACTAAAACTATAAATATTGTTTCCACCAAAGCAAGCTTTTTACCTGGAAAAACAATCTTCCTCCATTACCACTGTGCGTTCCAATTTCGGAGAGAGGTTTGGGATTATTCGGATTAACTCTGAAAAAAAGTTTGGAAGATTCTCTGTGATATAAAACCAGTCAAGGTCCTCTAATAAGGGCGAGAGAAACGTGTTTTTTACTTTAGTGTTCCTTCGTGATGTGATAACCAGAGCCAGAAAAAAGAAAAAGGAACAGGAATTGTGTTATATATTCCTACGAGGCTGGACCGATTCCACGGGCTGGGTTCATTTGCTTAAATCCAGGCATGTTAGTTACAAAGACAAAAATATCTCTCGTGATTGCATAACAACTGAGCCATCCCAGTATTGTGATCCTGGGATTCTAGCTAACTGGGTTGGAAACTGTCCATGTTATCATGCTCGTTGGGCCAGCCCGGCAAACCAAACAAGCAACAGGACAGCGGGTAACACACTGCTCAGGCGCACTGCTTTAAATCTGCATTCCTGTAGATGGTGGCTACGGGCTGGCTCGCTCCATGTAGTATCGGGATAAATGTCTTACCCTGCCAACTCGGCAGCACAGAATCCACCCAGATAAAAAAGAATAATAATTATTCTATTATTAGTCTCGCTTGCTTTAGCAAAGCGAGAATCTTAAAATGCTGTTCGGTTTTTTTTTTTTCGGTGGGACCTAGTTTGTAGGTCCCGCGTTCCTAGCGAAGACCGTGGAAACTGGGGATAAGAATCGTGACGACTTTCATTGTATGGAAATGAGTCTCGTGATGAGCATGTGGTTTATTTTGGGGGATGACTGGAATAACACGCAATGTTTATCACGTTTAAGTGCTTTTCTTCCATGTAAGAAATCAGACTTTATCTTTTTCGTTAAAACAGGTTACGTTTCAGGCTTATATGACATAGTAAACCGATAAAATCGTAAGTGCAAAACAGACATAACAAAAAGTAAAACTGTAAACACGTGCTCTCTCTGATCTTATGGTAATTTGGTTCTGACCGTCACGATCACGTGCAAAAAAGTAAATACAGCTAAACGTGACAAAAAGAATAGTTTTGTAAAGACGTGTTCCGGGTCATGGTAGCGCAGAATCTGGGGATGAAAATCGACACGATGCTCTCAATCTCAGTGAACACTTGGAAAAACAACGCTCAATTGTCTGAATGTTATGTTCAGAGACGAAAAATTTGGAAAGATTAATGGATTATACGGTGATGTCGCTTACAAATCCACACACCATTCGTGGTAGACCCACACTAAAAGATGTCGAGCGTTTCCGGAATGGTTCGTTCCACGAATTCTGTCGTTTGAAAGCGTTGAGAACTTTGAAAGAACTGAATACATCAGATGTTGAAACAAGCAAGAATGTTCATGAGCAGAACTTCGATGATGAGGTAAAAAACAACAAGCAAATCGTCGTTAATTTACCTCTCGTGTTCAACAGCCTGATTCTTTTCCTTTTTTCATGATGCTGGATACTTAATTGTAACGAACAACTTGATATTTCGTACATCATTAATATTATTGTACAGGCGATGATAAATGTCGAGGAAACAAATCTGGGGCCGATTTTCGAATCTTTGAAACTCAAATGAAATTCAATGAAATTGCCTGATTTGACTAACCTGATCTAGAATTCTTATGTATTTGCGAAATACTGTAGGAAAACGGCATAAAAATTCATTTTCGGCGACCGAAATTTACGGCTTCGAGACAGCACTTCCGTTTGCTGTCCACCGCAGCAGAAGATGACTGAAATGACGTAGTAAAGTAAATGCTGCTCGTTCCAATAAAGTTTTTTTCGTCTGCTGTGTAGATTATGCTCTGGAAGGTTCTACATTTTCACAGAGTAAATGTTATTTTACCCGCATGTTTCACGCTGAGAGATCATGACACACATATCGATTTACTGTGGCTATTAGCGGGGAAGAGCGTTGCGTGACGACACTAAAAACGACTGTGTAGCAGACTATTTTGAAGCATGATGGTGAAGCTTTCTATTACGGCTGAATAAGGGTTCCAGTTTTCTCCAAAGTATCTTCTGGATCTGAATAACTAAGCGATTTTCTTTAGTCTATGAATGTAATGTTTTTGTGCAATGCTGTATCACGTTAAGCCCAACTCATTAGTTTTGTTTGGAAAATCTTAAATTATTACGGGTAGTGATTTACAGGTCGTGTGTACTGTTGCAATAAAACGTAATACTGAGTAGAGCGGAGGTACAAGGCAACTGTAATATCACGACTGAGCCATTCTTCGGTGGTTCCAACAATGTTACCTCTTGCGTCTTTGGTTGTTCGTTTTGCGACTCGGTAGTGGGAAGCCTTTACACAAGCGAAGCCTGCTTAAAGACATCGAAGACTGTTGGCATGTACACAACAAATGTTCAGTCTTGAAAGATCTTCACTTCACTTAAAACTCTGTTGCCTTCGCACAGATCTCTAAGATCTTTAAAACTCCCTCCGCAGCTAATATTTTGATTCTCGAATTAGCAGCGGTCTGTTGCTTTTGCGTTTCCGGTCTCATTCACTTCCGTCACCGAGAGATGCGGTTCACAACGAACTAAGTCACGTGGTACAAGTATCTTCCCTTATCCTTTTTTTTACTCGCCACTTCGCGCTTCGGTCACCCTTCCGTCACCCTTGCGGTTATTGATTTTCAAAATGGCGAACAACAAAGTCGATCTGGATCAGGTAAAAAGCAAAGAAATCCTTTACAGTAGATTCATAAAGATCCCATTGGCCTAATTAATCGCGCTAAGCGACAGGTATAAACATTTTTCGAGGTGCGACTTTGAATAATTTATTTATTTATTCACACGCAACTCCTCTGGACCCCGTGCAGTAGATTGAAATCATAATTCAACTTTTTCACTTGCTGTCGGTGACTCTGAGGAATTATGACGAACCCCGGGGGAGGACGACTCTGCACATGAAAGGCAAGGGATGCTCGTCGGAAATTTTGAATTAAACCCCTAAAAGAGATCGATCCGGGCGTAGCCCAAGCTTTTTTGACCCCTGAGAGACTATGTTGTTATTTTTATATTTTTTCACATGCAACTCTAAACAAGACCTTCACGGCTAAATATAATACCGTTTTGCCCAGAACACCGTAAGTGAGACCAAAATCCGAAATTTACACCCCGGCCAAAGCAAGACGACGAGCATCGCAAGCCCTTTTACATGCGGAGCGCCCCCCCCCCGAGTGACGAACGCTCGCTCTCTATTCGCCTCCTCACTTCTTATCTTATCTACAATCAAGCGAGACTCAACGCTACCTCGAGCGTTCTTGTTCTTATTGTTGTGGTACGTGCATATCCACACGAAGTGACCTCAAATAAATCGGAAAAAAGCTATTTAAAAACGATTTCATGATTCAAACGAAAAATGGGAATGTAGTGCTAATTAGTACATGTGCAAAAGTTAGATCTACACAGAATCGAATTTTCAAATACGGTAAGTCATAGTTTCAATCCTTTCTCCACCTATAGCACAAATGGTTTGAAAGGAATCCTTAAAAATTTAACTTCCCGATTTGCTTAGAAATGTAGGGGTGTATTTACTTCTATCAACGCGCCTTTTCAATCAAAAAGCTTTCTTGCGCCGCTCCTCAGATCCTTACCCTCAGGAACCATTTTCATATCACAAGGACGACAAAAGTTGTTGAACAAAAAGCATAAAAATCAAACAAGCAAAAAAGAAGGAACTCACCTTGGCCACTTTTGCTTTGAATAATGTCATATGCAAACTCAGTTGGAAGCCGCGGTGAAACGGAAGAGGGTTCATCTACGTCCACCTCAAAAGATTCATCAACGGAAAAAGATTCTTTTCCGTAAAATGTCGCATCTTCTTCGTCAACTAACGCAGTTTTTGGATAAATAACGCCATCATGAGCACAGCACGTTGAAAATAAAAAAAAAAACGCAGTTTACTCTTAAACCAGTTCTTTTATCGCAGTCTAAGCCTATGTGAGGTCTGTGAACTCCATAACTGATCCTTGCTTAAAAAAAGGATACTTTAAAGAAAGATATTTTTTAAAAAAGATATTTTACTAGAGGGTAATTAACCTTATAACCCGGGTAAACTTTACAAGCACGTAATCACGGAAGACTGAAATATGCATTCTTTGTAACGTCCAAGATTTGAATGAAATCCTGAAGATCCCTAAATTTCCCAAAAAATCGGCATCACATATTCTCAACGTAGGCAGAAATGTAGAGAGAGAAAAAAAATTAAAAATTTGAGATGGGTAGAATCAGATTGATAGTTAATTGAATAGAAGGGAGGGAAATTTGCATTTCGAAATCGATTGGGCTAGTCTTATAGTTGGAAGGAAATTTACCGTTTTTGCTAGTTGTTTTACTTTGTAAAGTTGAGGGCAATTATCAAGTATGAGACCCGGGGGGGCTTACAATTGGAGGGACGATTAAACGGAGGGTTTTTTGCGTTACGAGTTTGGCGGGCTTATATTTGGAGGGGCTTATTTTCGGAATTTTACAGTATTTTTAGAAAGAGACCACAAAAATTCTGTTCTTCACAGATACAAAATCTCAACGTGTAGAATAAAATAAATGGTCCACATTTTTTAAGGTCAGTATGGAAAGAAACTGAAAGGGAGCTCCTGTTCAAATCAACTTTCGAA